AATGCCTATGGCGTGTTGTTCGAATGAGCGATTGGATTTGTAGATTCGCTTGGGTGGGACTGCTGGTTCAAGCTGTCGTCAGCTTGCCCGCAGGATCGTAGTCCATTGCCTGGTGATTGATGTGTCGTTTGCGATCTCTTACGAGCGAGTTTTCGTTTGCCACGAAGATTCGACCTTGATTGATGGTGTGGGCGGATCTCGTCAGCACTAGATACAGCTAAGGGCTCGTTACGAGCTTTCTTCTCGGCAGTATTATCAACCGACCTCTTACTGGAGCGCTGTTTTTTCGCAACTCTTCCGGTCCGCACAGGTTTTTCTGTTTCAGCTTCAACGGCTACTGAACGGCGCTTGCGTCGCGTTATGACTTGTGTGTCTGTGCTCCTCTCAAGCACTGTCGAACCGCGCTTGCTCCGCGTCGAGACTTGTATATCTTCGGCATTTTCAACTACTGTGGGGCCTCCCTGGCTTCCCGCTGGGGGTGCATGGCGATTTTCATCATCAACCGATATATCTCGTGAAGACGATACTGGTGACGCATTACCATCGCTGTCTACATTCGAATCACCACCAAGAAATCTGCTAACACAGCGGGGGAAAACGTAGCGCGGATTTTGCTCGAAATATTCATGCTTTCGATAGTAGTAGATATGGTATACCGCCTTATCCAGAGCCGCGTCTTCCGCTTTTCCCAGACATTATATAGTCCCGTGGAACATCGCCGGACTATATTGCGCTCGGGAATGTTGTGCAACATCTCCGAAACGATTCACTTACTTAAAGTAGTAAGGCGACGTTCGAACTTTGATATAATATGGATACAGCTATTGACTCAATATATTTATCACTGTATGAATCGAACACACATAAAACTATTTGGTACCGATTTGGACGACTGCTACTAATACGAGTATTACCCAATTGTGTTAGGGGCTTCGTCTCAATCTGTCTAAGGAAGAACAATTTTAATATATGAACTGTGAACGCAACCCAATGCTACCAGACGCTACATCAGTTTTGACATTATTTCAATTACACCGCTTGTTTCCCTCTTTTGATTAGCAATAAAAGGCAATATGCCACAAAGCTTTTATCTGCTCTTATCAACTGCAGAACTGTGCGACCGCGCAGCCATGTTTACATGAAGTGTTTGTCCTGTATTAATAGTACCCGTATGTGTTTGTTCCTGTTCGATACGGATGATTTAGTTTTCGCGATCGGAAGGTGTTAGGCTCTGCCCGAATAGACGTTTGATTGCGACCTAGATTCAAGTTGAGTCACTAACAATCCGCGCCTTTCGAAAATGGAGAGAAGACTCGATATCACCTCATTCCTTAATCGTCCAGGTCGAGATGAAACTAGGAGTTTTCGTTACGACACTCTTCGCTGCCCTGGTTGCTTGTGCTGCTACAACTATCGATCATGACAAGATCGAACCATTTCCTCAGCCCAAGCCGGTCACGATGTCTGAAAAGGCTGCCATCAAGTTCAAGCCGCAATTGTTCACTTCAATAAAAACCGTTTGCGCGCCTTTTCCTGCCGTAAATGCTGCCGGTGACGTCACTGGCGGGCTTAAGGGAACGAATGGAAACGATGCGTGCAGATTCGCTCGCAAGGGATCACAGGTCTACGGTCGAGCTGGGTGGCACAAGGACATGTGGGCCATCATGTACGCTTGGTACTTCCCAAAAGGCTTTTGGATGGATTTCCCTACGAGACGTCATGACTGGAAGAACGTTGTTGTGTGGATCGACAATCCTGACTTGGAATCTCCGAAGATTGTAGCGGTCTCCATGTCCAAATCTGGAAGGTCGTATCACACGGAAGATCAATCGGGAGGTCTAATCTCCCGTTCATTTTTTAATGGATTTGACAGAACATCGCTCCGGTTTCACTACCAGACTGATTTGGGATCCCCGTATTTGAACTTCGCCTGGTGGGGAGGTGAGTATCAGGATTTGATCATGTGGGAACAACTAACGGATCCGGCTCGCGTGGCTTTAAACGACATCTATAATTTTGGTGATGCCGAGGTCCCGTTCAGTGATAATAACTTCGAAGACTACCTCGACAAGGCGTGGCCATTCTAGCGGAGTGAGATATCGAATGACCTCAAGCTTTGATTTCGATAACCTAAAACTTAGCTGTTACTACCACCTGTGGTACGAAGTTTCATGGGGTAAACAGAATCGAAATGTGTAAAAGCGGAAAACAGAGGAAATGGACTGATGGTTCGAATAATCCTAGCTATCAGGCCTTAATGCGTGAACGATATGATCACAACCTGTGATGAGGTTAGCATGGATTAGTCCGTAAGAATCTGCCACAGAGCTGGTAAAACGCTTTGTTTGTGCGGAAGCAGCGATTGCAGTGCAAGCAGTGATGAGTAAATTCCGATGGGTAGACAGCTAGGCTATAGAGTTACTAGGATTTAAGCAAAGCCAAGCTAACCAACGTATCAAGTCATCATCAAGAATCGGTGATCCAGGCTAACCTCGTGATTATATCGTTCACGCATCAAGGCCTGATAGCTAGGATTATTCGAACCACCAGCAATCAGTTCCTCTGTTTTCCGCTCTTACACATTTCGATTCTGTTTACCCCATGAAACCTCGTACCACAGGTGGTAGTAACATGCAAAAGGTTTAGATGTTAGATTCTGGTGTGACGCGTAATCAACCAACCGGAGCCTCAGATAATAATAAAAAAAAAACATGCTGTCTCCATTTCATTATAAAGTTAAGTAAAATAACAACTTACAGATGGAGTCAGTTACTTTTGATTTTTTCCATCCATGAAAACGTTGCTATATCAATACACACCAGCCTGCTTCATAGCCGCAGAAGATGAATCATCGAAGGATAAGCTCTTGACTTTAATGGAGGTGGCGCATGCATACACATCGATATTCGTGCATAAGGTGAGTTTGTTTTATGGACGAGGTTAAATTCCTGGTATTTGATCCAGGCATTTCTTATTGATCCATGTGAGGAAGTATTTTACAATGTACAGTACCTATCTGATTAACTACGAGCGACTACCAAAATCGTGCTGGCTTCGTTGCGTCTGATTTGCGTGGGCTACCCTAACGAGCCTTAATAGCACGATCTAAAGCCCGGGAACAACGAAATATTAAGCGTTTTAGAACAACTTATTATAATATGCAAAGTCGAGCATTGAACATGGGTGGCAACGACTACATTATTGGTCTAACGTGACAATAACGGCGGTGATCAGACAACATCATAATGGACTTTGAGTCAACTTCGGTCAAGGCCAGAAAAAGCTTTCATTTCTAGTCAAGATCGCATTTCTTTAAGAGCGCGACAAACCCTCCTCGTGGTCTTCGGGTTGGGTTAATGTGGTCTTCAGAGCGCCAACACTTCTCGTGGCCTTCGAGATGGCTGTAGTTTAGTGAATTGTGGCCTTCGAATATCTGCACAATCTGCTTTTGCAGAAATCGCCACACACATTCATGGTCAACTATTTACAGCTCCCAAATGCGCCCACAAACAAGATCACGTCGGTCATGACCTGTTTTCGCAGCTTACAGACCGGCCTGAGTATCACAGCATTTTGATCAGTGAAAGCTTGAAACGTAAATTTGAACGCGTAATGATGCGTTAATGCGTGAAGTAGGTAAGTGAATGCGTAGATGCGTAGATACAACAACCGCGACGGCTATGTCTTTGCCACGACGGCGAGGTATGAGCTCGAATTGAGCATCAGTAGAAGAGCTTGCTCACTGAAGAATTTGGGGGTTGTGAATGCAAAAAATGGTAATCAATGGATTGAATTAGACCAGTATCAGACAAATCCCGACAAATGAAGATGCTAATAGTGAACTGCAGAATCGTTTCAATACCGGTATGTTCTCAACACTATCAGCCCAATACTCTAGTTCAATAGGTATTGGAACAACAAAAAAATAAAGTGCGATATCCCGCTATGGGAACAATGAAGGAAACCTGTTCGCTACGTTGCTGGAGATGGAGATCAGCGCATGATCAAAATGTTGCTGGAGCGGGATATTGGACAAAATAGTGCCACTCACAACTACACAACTGAGAAATAGTCCCGCCTTCTTCTCCAGCTTAAATAGATAGAGAGGACTAGAGAAAATTTTCTAATTTGTGCAATGGACGACGACGATGAAGTTGTAGTCGTTGTCACGTGTATTGCAATCGCCCAGGCAGTTGCTGCTCTTGCTGTAAGCGCCGAAGCAACCCCTCCAAGTCCCAAGACTCAGAACTCACCGTGACCGTTTTAAACTTCAAACCCATGCTTCAGTCTGCTGCCTACGCGAGCTGGTTTTGAAAGCAGTTTCAGATGTACAAAGCCGACATTTCTACTAATTGTGAATTTTCTTAAAGAGAACGGTGTACGATTCGCCACAGTTAAGACCAAGAAGCACTCCTACAACAAAAAGGCCAACCATCGCTACATCTACCCCGTACTAGTAATCGTGATGCACAATAATGGGTGAGCTCTGCCGACACGATCGAGCTAATACCGTCAACTCCGTTACAGCACATAATTTTTAATATCAACCAATGCTGTTGATTTTAGACACCTTGCCAAAACAAAAAATCTACACGTACTTCCCCCTCCAAAGTAGCACCAAATTCAACAGGACCCAAGCAGAATCAGACCAACCGGTATCACGAAAAAACAGTCTACCAATAATATCGATTCGATATTCATGCACTGCTGCAGCCTAAATGTCACGTCAAAACAGCCAGGCAGCACGTTACAAGCTGCGAGATGCATCGGAGAGCGACCATCTTACAGATGCCTTGGGTTGCAGGTCACCGGCCCGATGGGCTCACAACTACATGTATTGAGGACGATGGATCGATTGCCGATCGTTTTGACGCATTCTGGCATTTAACACGTTATCAGGAGGTCGTAAGACACGAAACTCCTTAATGAAATGGCTGGGCCTCTTCATTGTCCACTATTTAGTGTTGGACCCCTACAAAGCCGACTCTTATACACGATAATCATTGTCAAAACAATGGTTTTAGAATACAGATTATATCCAATATCAGAGGTCTTGTTTACGAATCTGCGATTGCGTAGATTTTGGCAGTGACGTGTCGGCCAGTCCTCACGCCGATTGGCTGATATCCACCCTGCCTTGCGACACCGTTCGATTTACCACTGGTCGGGCAAAATCGCTGCTATTTACGAGCGACTTGCCCGATTTTGTACCGATTGCGATGCAATTTGCGTACGTACACGGGAGGACAAACGCTTGATGCGTGAAGGTTTGTTTGTGTCGCGCGACCTTGATCCCATTCTCAATCGTTCTCGGCGCACCGCAAGTGCAGCAACAGCAACAGCAATCTATTTCTAGTAGATCAACATGCCTCGCATTCTCATCGTCGGTGGTGGCCCTGCGGGTATCGCCGTAGCCCAGACACTGGCGGCCGATCTCACGGCCAAGGATGACACCGAGGTCATCGTCCTCGAAAAGAGCAAGTATTTCTACCACGCTGTGGGCACGCCGCGTGCCGTTGTGGACGCCAACTACACCAAGAAGCTCTTCGTACCGTACGACAGCGTGATCCCGCCGTCGGTCAAAGCTTTCGTCAAGATCCAACGCGCCCTCGTGACGCGTATCGTGCCCGGCGCCAATGAGATCGAGTACGCGCCCATCGGCGAGGACGGAGACATGCTGGCGGGACCCGTCAAGAGCATGCCGTATGACTACCTGGTGGTGGCGACGGGGAGCACTTACACGGTGCCCATCAAGCAGCCCAAGAACAACTTCAAGCGCTCCACCACGGAGGCCAAACTGGCCGAGGTGCGCGAGCAGGTCAAGGCCGCCAACAGTGTGCTCATCGTGGGTGGCGGCGCCGTGGGTGTCGAGGTGGCCGGCGAGATCAAGGCCAAGTACCCGAGCAAGACAGTGACGATCCTCGAAGGAAAGGACAAACTGGTGGCCAACGACGACGTGCGCGACAAGTTCCGCACCAAGCTGTCGACGTACCTCAAGCGTCTTGGTGTTAAGGTGGTGCTGGGAGAGCGTCTGACAGAGCGTCTAGCGGGCAACAACTTCGAGAAACGTACGCTGCGCACGGACAAGGGCACGGAGATCGAATCGGACGTACAACTGTTGTGCGGCGGCTTCAGTCCCACAACGGAGCTCATCCAGAAGCTGGACGCGAGTCTGGTGACTGCCGAGGGATTCATCAAGGTGAACAGCAAACTGCAGTTGGACAGCAATCAGTACTCGAACATCTACGCGCTGGGCGACGCGAGCAATAGTCCGGCGCCCAAGCGCATGTACTACGCCGGTTTACAGGGCAAGCATCTGGGTGCTGAGCTGGCGCTGGTGGCGCGTAAGACGCAGTCCAACGTGAGCAAGCCGTTCCCCAAGGTGGAGATCGTGGGCACGATGCTGCCGTTGGGCCCGAACGGTGGCGTATCGCAGTTGCCTGTCATGGGAGGCGTGGTCATGGGCAACCTCATCACCAAGTCCATCAAGTCCAAGGACTACTTCGCCGGCATGGCTTGGAAAAACCTCGGCGCCGTCGTTCCCAACTAGGTGAATAATAGTAGCGTAGTTGGTAGTTTACCACACACGATCTGCTTAAGTAAGTAGCTTGACATTGTGTACTCTTGAGATCGATTTTTTAAAAAAAAAATCTAAAAGCGTTATTCCTAGTTTTTGATGATGCAATGACAAAGGTAGAATGCTACTCCTCTTGAGAACAGTCTTAATTAAAAATAATATATATACTACGTAGTATATCGTAGTACCATGAGAACCACATCGAGGACGGCTTTCGCTGAACCTTTCTTACACCTAGTACGTAGCACTAGTATTATGTAATTCTTCAACTACTACTACTAATACTTAGTATTTACGCTACTTACAAAAAAGTTGAAGATCATGGAAACAGCACAAGAAGTCACACAATTCAGATACAAAATTTGATGTACTTCTAGTAACAAACAACTGCTTCACTAACATGACAGATCTTACGCACGGCGACGGAGGCACTTAGACGATGAAGTTGACGGCGCAGCCGTAGCTGGAGGTGCTTGTGTTTCCGGTGCAGTGGTTGTGACGGGAGTTTCTGCGGCAGCGTCTTGATCCGCATCGTTACCCACGCTACCTTCATCGAAAGTTTCGTCAAAAGTATAGGTAGGAGCGGCAGTTTTCTTGGAAGTGGTCGAAGTCGAGTTCTTTGAGCTAGATTTGGGAGCGCCCGCGCCGTCGAGTGTCACGCAGTTAATGTAAACTTGCCACGGTTGGACATGCAGAGCCAACCAGTAGAACACCAATTCGGAAGACGACTTGCATGTCTTCAGATCAATAGGAATCTTAGTGGGCACTTGACCGGCAAATTTGCCAGCGCAGTTGGTATCATGAAAAACACGGGTGTCATCACACCAGACTTCACAAGGACCAGGGTGGGAGTTTCCCAACGAGTCGTGTTTCACATAGCCGTCAGACGGCAACTGACGAGGGGTGCCGTTCTTCTTGGTGTTTCCACATTCAGGGAGATCTGGGATGTAAGTTTCGACGAAGTCCTTCACACTGTCGACATTATTCGCCGTGAACCATTTGTCCACACCCTTGTAGTACTCTCCATAGGTGGCTTTGCCGACCAGCTCAGGCATATCAATACTTCCAGCGGGTCCGCCGAAGTACCATCTGTAAGCGTCGCTAGCACCTTCAGGGTTTGGATCGAAAATGTTGCCATGTCCGGCTGCTTGGTAAATAAGGGACGCATGGATAAACACTGCAGCGAGTGTGTGCTTGAACATAGTAACTTGCTATCCGAACAGGTGGAGGAAGAAGGTTGGCTATTGCTGCGTCAGGTAAAAACTGCAATGAAGAACTAGGAGGCGATCGCGATTAAATGCAATCCGGTCGTATGGACAGCGAGCGCTGTACGTACGGTGTTGAGGGATCTTCAGGACCAGTGCAGCACTGAGTTTGCTGAATAGGGTGAGTAAGAAGAAATGCTGTTTGTTTACCATAGTTGGGTTGATGTCAGCATGTGGTTTAGCGGGAAAACCTGGTCTTATTTCTTGGGGCTCGAGTACATGCATATACAATGATCCCTTCAGTAGTAATCGTTGGCCTTGGTATACCCGCTGACACGAATACGAAAGAACCCTCCACGCATAAGTACAGTCCTTCCTAAGTGAACTATTCCAATTACCCCTAATATGTAATATGAAAATCAAAATCATCGAAAATTACTGTCTTACTATCTATTTCGAGGTCGTAACTATGGAAAGTCGTCGTTTGTGTAGTATGTCCGATGCGGTTAACGGTAAGCAATCACATAAGCCGCTTTCGGAACCCTGCACACCGGCCCAACATATCCGCTGAATCTGCTCGAATAAGAAACACTGCAATCCACTTGGAAAGTTTCTTGTATCGTCAGGATTAAAGCTGTTAGCGGGTTATGTATTGCAGGACGTCTTCCATTTGATCCCACAGGTATTCTCGTCAGTGGATCGTCGATAACGGTGTTCTCGAATGGTTGGTTAATCACTGCCATTGAAACTGACCCAGCTAACTATAAGTGTGTCATTTGTTGGTACTAGTACGGGTGACACCCCGTGATAGGAATACCGTTGTATAGGAATATATTGTGGGCTATGACTACGGAAGGGCCATCTGCAACTTGTTGATCGCCGAATCTGATCACGGTTGGAAAAGCAAATAACCTGATCATGTTCTCCAAGGATTTGACGTTGTTTAACCTTTCTTGTATTATGCAGTCTTCAAATCCGAAAAGTGTCGCTTTCACTGATTCTACAGCTGTCTGTTGGGCGGCTGCACACGGATCACTTCAACTGGTCCACCAATCCTTTCTGTGGGAGTTTCTCATTGCTTAGAGCATCTCCACCGGTGTCGGATTTTCCCCCACCCAACTCGCTCTTAGGTTAAATACCCCAGCAAAAAAAAATATCGGGTCTCCTGGGCTGTCGCTTCCACTCGCGCCCCTCTACTAAGTTGCTTGTCCGTACCATCGCCCACAGTTGCTTTACCCCAACGATAGTCAGGATGCGTTCTTCTATCAATGATAGTCATTATAAAACGAATACGAACTATGAGTGCTCTACTTGCACCGCAGATAATCATAATGAGTATTCTTAAAAGCAGTGTTGCAACAGTGCTTTGTGAAAGAAATTCTATTTAATGTTAAATAGATAAACAATCGATGCTGTTGTGTATTGGAGAAACTCACACCCAAGGTTAGTTGTTATTCATTATGATAAAACGCATTCATTATGCGCATTGCTAGTAAAATACTTTTACATGAACTAGCAACTTCCCTAAGAGAAGATGAAAAGTTGTTATTATAACATCTCTGTCCGGATAGTTATCGATAATCGCTTCACAAAATGTGAATCGCAAAACCCAACATACTAGATATCATTAATGCCGATGGAGAAGCCCTTTTATTCGAAAAACAGTTAACTATGGTACATGTACCTACATATTTTGATAATATTAAAAGAGTATTTATTCTAATATACTTCGAAGTAACGGTATATCCACCGGCATTTGCGTAGAACTAAACGGAAATAGTTGGTGAAAGGGCTGAGATGCTTGTTAGCTGGGTTAGTGATATTGTGTCAACATTGTTGACATGGAAGTTTACAGTTTGTACGTTGTAAAACCAGCATTGTTGTTTCAAATCTCTCATGACAGTTTCTCCCCGATCAGTTACAAAACTGATCTGGGAACGGTCAGCATAATCCGAATATCCATATGATATAGAAACTCGGATTATGCTAACAGTTTGGACCATGTATGAACAGTAATTAGGGGGTTTAAATGTAAAATACCCAGAGAACTTTGACCTAACATTTCGTAAAATACATCCGTGCGATGGATGTACTGCACCTCATTTCCGCGCCCTCGGACCTTGATAAACTTCCGGATGTAATGCTATTTTTGCCAAGTAACTTAGTAACATAATCCGGTTTATCTGCTGAAACCTGATATGTATGAAAATCCTATATTGTCTACCCCCGCGAAAACGTGGTGGTCCACTGTACATGTATTTTAATCCACAGTTTTCGACTATACTGTACAGCAGGCTTCATGACAACGTATCCCGGTCGTTGTATGCCTAAGTTTAATGCAAGTGGAATCGATCAGCAATGTCATCTACTTCATATCGGTTGACAGTGGGTCGCAAGCGCTCGCCGAAAATTCCACTGTTGTCAATTTAGAGGCTAATGGGGCACAAATTCCGCTCTATTTGCATAGAATCGGTACTGTCCCACTATTGTAAGGTTAATCCTACGGTGACATTGTAGTGTCAGCGCATGTGAGTTTGTATACCAGCGTTTATTGCTGACTAACGCATCCTTGATAGGCTCCCGTAAAGCCCGTGCGGGCTGTTACAGGGAATGCGTGCTAACACTACTAATCCATTGTCAAGCGTCTTTGACTCAAAGCCGAGGAGTTACCGTGATCTAGTAGAAAAGTATAATCTGCTAAGTACGCAGATGCCACAAAAAGCGTCTGTTCTATTTCTCCTTTAATCTCCCTTTTAACTCGCTCGGGGAAAATCTATGGAGTTCGACTCGAAATATTCGAGGTTACGGAGTACGAGGGCATGATACCCGTGCGAATGGGTACGAATCCAAAATAGGTAACCAGAAATAGGTATCTTACAGATTGGTCTATTCACTTTTTTTCGAATGAAGCGCTCAGTGTTTCGGTTCAGTTGCCATACTAAAGACGATCCACACGTTTCTTCGTTTGCATTGCATAAGAACTTGGCAGCTTTACAACGGTATTGTAGCAGTGTTTTTCACATGAACTCCTCTCAATTGCACTACTAACACCAAACGAAGCCAACATGCTCGCTGCGCATGCCGCGTGGACAGGGGCTTGCAGCCTGGTCGCTGGCATTCGCGAAGTGCACTCCCTCCGCTCGACTTGTTGATCTTTTGCAGCCTTTCCAGCAGCATGCATTCGTTAATGGCACAACATGGTTTGACAAATTGGTATTAGCTGTTTCGTCAGCAACCTTTTGTCGGAGGTTGACAGAGTTGAGGTTCTCATCCTCGTGAGACATAGCTTCAGCTTTACCTTCCATCGGCACTACCAAGGCGCCCTTGAGTCCAATGCACACTGAGACGTTTGGCTTGGATCTTTGCTCATCAGAAAATAATGCTGCAGGTCGACAAGCAACGGTTTTGTTGCAGAACACGAAAAGCAATCTGTGCCAATCAGAATGTAGGAAAATAATGTAGCTTGCTGTACACAAAAAAAAACTTCTCGCTGCTGCAAAATTGAATACCGCTATTATTACAAGCTTATCACGTTGTGCTAAAAGAAGCAACCATATATTCCAACTAAATTCCAAGTATTTAGATTTTCACTTGGTTATAAACGTTTTTGTAAAATAAGACACTCTGAAGACATCAACAGCGATTTGCATTTGACCGGAAAGCTACCGAGCGGTAGGCTGAGAGTTTTATGTGCGAAAGTGGCTCACATTCGCGCCAGGTGGCTTGGTCAACAGGGCGTATAGGGTAAACTATTTTTCGTCGTTGGCTCCTATCGAATTTAGTGCTATTATCTGAGACGGGTACAACGTTTTGGTATATTTTTGGGTAACTTGTCTAAATACAACAGTAACTATCTACAAAGACGGTCTTCGTTTTTAAGTATTGCGTACGTGCGATTCAGAGTGTCGTTTGATCTTCCTAGACCGTTCTGCTCTCCCGTCGAGTAACACAACAGCACAACGACAATAAATGGAGTAGAGAGTCTACAATAGATCCAAGACCATCGAGAAAAATGTTAAGCGCGCTGCTGCTCAGAATCAATACAACGCCGCTAGATCTACACCGCGTTGTTTTAGAAACATCCAGACCAGTTTCAGCCACTTCGTGTTGTCAATAAGGTTGAGCGGGGCAACAGTCTACTTATTCAATTTTATAATACATCTCAATTTGATCTTCATTTTTGGGAAAGAGTCCCAACAGCCTCATTTTTTTTTGTGACAATCCGAAAAGACCAGACTCACCGGTGACCCGATTTGATTTCTTCCGCGTATACAGTAGAATGCTACTCAGGTAGCCACCAGTGTGTGAGAGATTCAGTTTCGCGAAT